AGAAATAATTTAAAATACTTAAATGTAGTTAGGAAATCGTAGTCAGGACATTCACATGGGAATATCGCATTTGGGGACGGAAGAAGAATATTCACATTGAGCAAATGTGGTTAATGAAGCTCTTAAATACAAAAGCAGCATGTAAATAAATGAAGCTTATTAACTTCATCATTCGAATCTCGTCTGAGCCTTATGGGACTTTCTTTAGAAGACTTATCACGAAGCAAAATTTTCCTCTTAGCTTTGATAAAAAAAATGAATAGAGAAATCTGTGAGAAAGATACAAACAGTACATCTAGCTCGTAATATATTCCGTTAATAACATTTTGCGGCAAGTGTTCTGTGGTTTGAAATCCTTTGAAATCTAATAGATAATAGCAGTATATAAACAGTTCCTTAGATTTTATGTTTGTTTAATTTTGGGGTATATTAGGTTATTATATACTCCCAAGAATATTCAAATATTTTCGAAAGTCAGCTATCTGAGTGTTATTTGTGAGAACTATTTTTCCAAGCAGCGTAGAATCTCGTATTTTTGGTAACATTAAATGTAGGAGAACTCTAAAAACTAAAAGCGAATTTTCGCTATGTCTCGTAAGTTCCATAGAGACGGAGAAAAAACCCTTTTATTTGACTCAAATAAAAGTTAACTGGCGTCATCACTCGTGCTTTCAAAAGCCAACAATTACGACTTAAATCAAAGATAATGAATTTATCTAGAAATAAGAATAAAACATCCAGCCTGACGGCTGCGCAAATAGAATAATATTTAAGCTGTCTCTAACCTAGAGCACGCGTAACAAGCCTAATAGTTAGAGTAACACAGCGCCTGAGATTACTAGCAAGAGAATCAAATGAGCGACGTGGCCTACAGCAGGCAGTATACGCTATGATTCTACCCTCTAAAATCTTCCTTCGAATACTGTACAGCGTTTTTAGCATAAAATAACTTGTTAAAGAACTTAAACGAGACATCAAGACAATTACTCTTAATTTTTAGTCAGCCACCATTACTGGCTTTTAGCTGATAATCGCAGTGTGCGAGTAAGTGTTAAATTTAGAAGTCTTAATTTTTGTTCCCTTTTGTTATGCTCACCTCTTGGTGGAATAGGCTGGAAGTCAAAACTCTACACAATAAATATCATAAATATTTTACTTTTGCTTCGACATACAAACTGGAAACACAACGCACTTCTTACATCTTTAGAACGCAATTATAAATAAAAATAATCGCGTGTTGCCACATCTCTGAAACAAGATCACAGAAAACTTCATTCTCTTAAAAGCAGAAATAAATTATTTTTAGCTTTTTACGAATAGCAGAAACGCGCTCTTTCGGCGAGCAATGGATGGCGTAACACCTTAATTACGAAACAATTAATAAAATTTATAATTTAATAGATGTAAGATCAAGAAACATGTGCTTCGTTTGAAAGAAGTTCTCTATATCAAAGTTTAAGAATCGCTATTTCAAAATATGAAACTTTTATTATTGATTGTTAATCGGGAAACTATATAAAATGTATTTAAAGTATACTAACTTGAGCAATTAAAGAATTTTCAAACAAGAGCTAATGGTTAAATTGTTCCATTAGAGGTCATCGAGAAGCTAATTACTGAATTCTGCACGCTTGCATTATAAGCTAATGACATTAAATACCCCTAATGGATGAATTAAACTACTTTAAAATAACGATGTTTAGTTTCGCTTAACTTTAGAGTTTTACCTTTAAGTTATATGCTGGATGTACTTGCTGCCAAAGATATGATCCAATTACTTAAAATTCTGTCGACTTAACTCACTGATTAAATGGCATTGTGGTATTTGTTAATTGCGGTATTTGTTAATTTCTCTTTCACAAATTATGAAATCTCATAATTTAAAGGTCGGATCTTTTTGCTGGTTTAGATCGATTTGTATTTATGTATGATAATGCCGCTAGATAAATGGAAAAAAAAAGAAGATTTATTTCAAACTAAATATCTGAACACTCTCTGCTGCGATATAGTTTATTCAGAAATGTGTAAACTATATACTACTTTGGTTTAGCTAAAAAAATCATAAAAAGCTTGAATAATTTACCTATTATACAATACTTTGCTGATTTCATCATACTACAGCGGAACATTGGAATTTTAAAATGAAATGGAGCAAAATTTTACAATGATGAAAATAAATATACAAAGAAAAATAACTAAAATAACTATGTCTTTAAGAATCCAACGTTGTAAACGGTTTTTATATATTAAGTGTTTCTCAAAACCCGAAATTTTGCAAAACAAGTCTAGTGCGAAATAAAAGAATTGTTTCATAGAAACAGTTACAAGAATTATTGTTCATAGCTTACACAAAATCTGGATATTTGACAAAGACTTTGATTGAACAAATATGAATAAGAAAATACTTTGCTGCATAGGCAATTAGAGATTTATTTCTTTAAGTACCTGGAAAGAAATTCCAGAAAGCGTAAACTGATCATTTTTAATGCTTTAAGAAATTATGAAAGGGAGAAATTTCAATGCATATTTTTAAGGGCTCTCCATATTCGGCAAAATGTTTTTTTGTTAACGTAATTACAATATTTCGATGATTTGTAATTTATATATGATTTGCATTTATATATATATATATGCATAAATGGTCAATGTGCTGGCAAATAGGAGTCATCTTAATGTATTGTATATAGCATAAAATGCACTGAAATTTAAGCTAACATCTTATAGCGAATTAAACGATGTTCTAAATTTAAACGAAATGCCTACCGCTTAGAATTGGACGTAACCGGATAAAGTGAACAGTTGGGTTTTAGCTCAAAAATCAAATACACTGCTTTTTCAAACGTTTGTACAATTCGGCTCGATGCAGCTTGCATTTATTTGTAAGATACATCAGGAATTATAATATATTTGAAGGAATTCAAGAATTTTGAATTGCTTCTTAGCTGATTTATAGTTAGTTTTCAATTTACTATTTAATTTTTGGAAACGAACGATTGTCCTAATTTATGTATAGACACTTCCAAATGAAAGAAATTGAATGAGAAGAGAATTATAATTTTGTATTTAGCAGCGCCCTTTTTCAGCAATAATCCCTTCTTATACAATATCGTGGGAAACTCTAAGCACAACGCACTAAACATTAGCGTCTGAGAGCCGTGGTGAGTCTGCGAGACCAGGAGATTTGAGATCGGGGCGAAACATCTACAGAAAAGAAATGCTACATATTAGAATTTTCGGTTAGCCTCATACTTAATGTAAATTGGATAGAGTTTTCCTTGAAAAAATTTCTCCACGAAGGCATCTATTCTAAGGTAAATAACCCTTCATGTGTACTGTTCTATTGGTGCTACTTTGGTAGATGGTTGCACGGATTTTTGGCGATTTACGTTGGTACAATTCTTGGCGCGGTTTCTACAATCGTCAGCCATCTTGAAAAACGTTGTTTTTACGAATTTTACGCATAGTAAAGGATTCGAAACTTTAAAAAATAAATATCGTTAAAAATAATGGATTAATTTTTTGTTGAAAATGTCTTTTCTTAAGATGGCAGGCAAATGTAAATAAATACAATTTACTACGAGCATAAAATACTAAACTAAAGTTTAAAATACTAAACGTAAGGTTAAATTATTACTTTCATATAGCAAAGAAATAGAATAAAAACACCGCTATAAAAGCATTGCGCCAACGTTTAATTGGATTAAAATATTACTGAAATTGAATATCGAATTAAAAACATCATACCAACTTTTAAAAGAATTAAAATATTACTTAAATTGAATATCGAATTAAAAACATCATGTCAACGTTTAAAAGAGTTAAAATATTACTTAAATTCAAATCCTTTAAAACAAGTTTTATAGGATATAATTATTTAACATTAAAGCATATGTGGCAATAAATATCTCAGGAATGTTTTAAAACAGTGTATTAATTTTTTTTAATAAAAATTGAAGTATACAATCATAAAGTAAAACAAAAATATGTACTTACATTTTTTTGAGTATTTAAACTGCCGTATATTGATAAGTACCACAAGAAAAATTCGAAATCATAATTTAGATATCAATGAAAAAAATTTGAAAAATGTAATATAATTCTTAAAATGTAAACTAAGGAATTCGAAGAGATGAATAATAAAATTTTAAAATGGCGCTTTAACGCGCAAATATTCAGTAATCAATTAGGGCGCTGATTACAGCTCGTTAATGCACAAAAATTCTGTACCAATCAGGGGGCTGATTATATCACGAATAGAATTAAAATTATTTAAATAATTATACATAATAAAATCATTTAAAAAATGCAAAATTAAATTGTATTTTAATATTTAACAGCCATAAGTAATGTTTAAAACATTAGATTAAATTTATAAATATTAAAACCAATTACTTTTAAAGTAATGTGACGTCATTCATTACATCATCCACAACATAAAATATCATAAACAATAAAATTTTTATTTCAAATAAAAATGCAAAATTAAATTGATTTTTTATATTTAGAAGCTATAAATACTATTTAAAACACGGAATTTATGCATAATAAAACGGATTATTTTTTAATTTAAATGTCAACAAAGTATCGGTTACCATAAATAACATGTCTAGCAATGGGTTTACCATAAGTCGTATCACTCTCCAAAAACAAATCGCCAAAATCCGTGCAACCGTCTACCAAAGTAGCACCGTTCTATTTAATATTTCAGCCTTAAAACTGAATATTTTGGCTTTGTATGCTATCCTAAAAAACAAAGGAATTTGATGAAATTTTACAAAGAAGTGTTTTAGCGTAATTGTTTTGTAAATAACATTATGGAATTATTGTCGAAATCATGTCATGTATAAAATTCGCCCAATCCCACTGGGTGAAATTTGAATTACCATTATATATTGTATTATTATAATCAATTTTTGCACTATTGAAATTTTAAGTGTGGCTTATAATCTGTGACATACCGGTCTAATTGAACGCAGAATTTGGTCTTTTGTTCCACGCAGCAGTCTCTGTGCTCGGAAATGGCCGAGGAGCTACGCTTTGCTGTGAAGTGCCGAGCTTCTCGTCAGCGTCCGGCACTGCGACGCCAGTGTTCCAAGTGCATCCCGGGAACGACATACGTGCCTGCGGCGCTTGAGGTGCCCCAGGAGAACGGGATCATGCAGATGATTGAGATGAGGAAATCACCCCTCACATACGAGAGTGCCGGCGACTCCTAGTTCCACAAGTGCCAACATCGCCACTCTACTTCCTTCCAGCACTCTCACAATCCGTGAGGTTTTCCTGTTCCCGAGATTTGTCTCTCCATAGGGATACGGCATTTTCTGGAGACGTGATACAACTCTTCAATGCCATCCGCATGTTACGACTGTTACATTCAGCTCACTTTTATTAGTATGTATCGAAGTCATAAAAGTTGCAATGCGTAAGGAGAGACGACGAAATATATTCTTTTAAAAATAGAGGTATATTCAAATTCGAGCACCTCTAAAATATACTCCATGTTATTGTTTAATTTATTTCCATCATTTATCATAAAATTAAGTATTTAATTTTATCATAAAGTATTAAATCTTTTAAAAAATTGAAAAAAGGTCTTGTTTTTATTTTGTCGTGTAATTTCAAAATACGATTATTTTAAAATATTATGGTTTTAATTCGAAAGAAATTGCTTACAATGTTCTTACAATTTAAATTCATCGAATTAATTATGATTTTACAATTATAATTAATATTTTTTCATAATTTATACCCATTATGAATTCTTATAAATTTTTGGTTTAAACGTAGAGGCATAATTTTATTTTAGTGTTTGTTTACTGTTGTTTTCTTTCAGATTGCGCAATTTACAATTTAACCAGTTTCTGCTCGTTATTTTATAAGGCATTTTATTTTACGAACAGATGTGTCAAGCTCTTATAGCGTAATATAGATTCCTGTTCAACACTTGATTTTTATTTAGTATTATTATCATAGATTTTGAAGAATTATTTAAAGAAACACACGTTCCAAATTTTCAAAATTTCACATATTGTGCTCCTTTTTACCATACTTGATCTGTATAGTTTAAAACAGTTTTATTCTGAAGTGAATTAATTTTCGTTCTTTTCCTTAATCGAAGTTTCACAGAACTGCGTCAACATTTAATCTCTCAGATTTTATACTTTCAGATCGAAATGCAAAACTATAAAATGCAAAGAGAAATATTTTAACGAAAGCATGTTGTAATAATAACGCATAATGTAATTTAAGTTCTTTTGTTCATGAAAATACATCACAGTACATTTATATAAGATATAATTGATTTTATGTGTTACATTATACCCTTGATATTTTTATGTAAAAATTTATCATAATTTGTAAGCTTGAAAACTGAGATATTTAATTTTTCTCCAAAAATATATAAGATGCCTTATTTAAGCTTCACATAATTTAGTGATATTTTAGAATTAAATGCTTAATTCTTTCTATCTCTCTTCTCTTTGAGTGCAGGGCATTATTATTTGTTTTTGTAACATACGGCACATTGCCATGAAAATATTTTTCAGACACCAACAAAATTTTCCATACATATGGATGCAACGGTGATTCAGGGCAAACTCAAACCAAAAATTTAAAATATACAAATGTGTGGTTGTTCTAGTATCCTGGTTGGCCACCTCAAGTATGGATACACAATATGAAACGTGAGTACATTGAGGCATCCAAGTCCTGAATGGCCTTCTCTACCTTCATATTACACAGTTGTTGTAAGAGCGCTCTAATTCGCTCAAACTTCTAGGTTGTCCAACTAGCTGACCAAATTGATTCCAGGCGTTGTCCATCGATGATAAATCTGGGTATCGAGCAGGCCACAGAAGAGTGAAAATATGGCAAAGGTAACCCTGTAATACCTTTCCTGTATGAAACTGAGCATTGTCTTGTTTAAAAATATCTCCTACCATCAGTGGCAACATATCTACATGGAGGATGTCACGAAGATACCTTTAGCCTTCCAGGGGCCGATGATCAATATTAGAGGTGAGAGGGTGCCCTATGCGAAGAGCACCCATACCAGCACACCAACCATGGAAGAGGTGCACCATTGTAAAGCGAAGGCTGGATTGAGGCGTTTACTGCAAGACCACACAAATGTGTATACAGTCGTAATCGCAAGCTAACCTGAATCACGATTCATGGTATCCGAATGGCGGACAATAATGCAATAGCCATACCGAGAGATGCAACAGTTCTCTCTGATATTCTGATATTGGTCACACAAAGCATCTTGAACATAATCACTGCCTATGCGACTTTTCTCTCATGAACTGGTCTTTAGTATTTTCTCATAGTAAAGTCAAAATGGCTAGATGGTGGACTACTTGCTAAGCTCCCATCATCCTGATCCTTCTTCCATTCTCGATCTCGTACAGCTGATCATATTGTCATCGATGGCGCTGTAATGGATTCCTGGTGGAAAGGTCTCTTTCTGCAACACATTAAATGCATCCAAAATGCCTCTCATTAGCTATTTTACCCGCCAGTGAGACGAAAGCTAATTCCGCCTGCTGGCATTTTACAATGTGCAATCTGGCTGTATTTCTAACCGTTTCCATATGTGGTTGATACGTACTTTCATGCAAAGCTTCTTTAGAAGCTGAAAATTCCTTTTTTGCGTGCAGTGCTTTATGGCAATAACTATGAAATCACGTTATAATTCGTATATCAAACTACTGTTTTATCGTAAATGGACTTGGAGGTTTGCTTCTTAAGCCGATTACGTAACGAATCGTAAATAAGGTGATCTAACCAAGGTATATTTATAAACTTGTGCTAATTGAGCAATGAAACGTGTCTTGTGACTGATGGGGTTAAAATGCCCAAAACTGTTTTAAAAATAAAATACCATAAAATAATCCAAATGAAAAAAGAAATGAAAAATACGCATTTGCCTAAAATATGAGTAAATGAGTAAATACAGACAACATACTGAAATGCAAGACGTGTTTTTGATGATAATAATTTTTAGAAAAATAAAACTTTTAGGTTCTTAACCTTTTAAACAGGTGAGTAGCAGTCAAAGAAAAATCTCAATAATATTCACTATGCTGTCGCAGTTTTAAATGTAATTCGACATTGAAAATCATCCTTTTAATTTGAACTATAATCAGAATTTTGCATTTACTCTGATTACTTAAATCTTACGGTAAAATAATTTTTGTTGTTTGACTTCAAAATTAATATTTAAACAATAGCTTGAATAACAAAAATAGTTTAAATTGAACAAACTATTTAACGCAAAATGAAACAAAAATCATACAAATTAAAGCTATTAAGTAAACAAAGTTATTTAAAACAAGTAAATAATAATATAAATAATTAGTAAGGCAGGTAAGTGCTATTTATACATGTTTTGGTATAGAAAATTTTTCATACATTTTTGCTTGTGTATACGTAAAATTTATGTTAATACGTTACATACTTGATACGTTATGAAGTCAAAACTTCCCTTCCCTGCTTTTTTTTTTTTTTTTTTTTTTTTTTTACCAGAAATTGATTTACTCATTCACACTGCTGTTCTACACAAGTGGTAACTTAGCATGTCTTTCATAACTCAAGAAAATAATATTTATCGTCCGTCTAGTACTTCAAAAGATTTGTTCGCTACCATTCCTTTTAAAAAAATGACAGTCTGAGATATTTTCATCAACATTAATGGGATTACGCATCTCCGGAAAAGGCTCAAAAGTGCAAAGCTTTCTGCAAAAAGATCAGAAACGCCAAAAACACAAAAATGCACCAAAATAATTCTATGTTTCAACAAAACTGCAATTTTATTTAGTGCAATGATGTGGACTTCCAGACTGAAATTTTTCGTGCTAGCATAATTCTGCAAAAACAAAGCTGTTTCTAACAATCTTTGAAATAGTCTCATTTCTTAATGAAAACACTACTCGTCAATCACCTTATTTTCTCTGCTGACGACATGAAGTAGTACGTAAAAAAATAAACGTTTCTCGTCATTATAATCTAATCTTCAAGAAAAACTAGAGTATGCCTATTATATTGGGTAAGCTTGTCTGCTTACTCAACTCGATAGTGGCTGAGTTTGAAAGTTGTTGCGTGCTAAATAATGTTTTACGTGGTGAGGCCAATTTATCAAAAGCCTGTTGAAAAATTAATAAACCAGTCCATACTATTAAATCCAAACAACAAAAAAAATCAGCGTTATATTTACAAAATTTTCACAGGACTAGTTTCGATGGTTTTACCGAACCATCATCTTCAGCTGCAAAACCGCAAATGAACAAGATAGGAAATAATGATTTAGATAAGATAAGAAAGCCTGGACAAGAATAAGCAAGTGGCGCCATCTGTTGGCGAAACCAGAACTAAAACATAATTTCTCTAAAAGCCGAAGGCAAATTTGGATTGGAATTAGGATCGTTAACTAGAACAGAAAGATTTTTATGAATGTGAAATGCCTCTAGAAAATCCAGTTCTCCAATGGAAGATGTTTTTTGAATAATTTTGGCAGCAGAAAAATTGAAAGTGTGATTTTCGGACCAACAATGTTGAGCAACAGAAGACTTCTGTGTTTCCTTTTTTCTAACATATGCCTCATGTTCTTTGACGCGAAATTTTAAGGCTCTCTTAGTTTGGCCAATGTAAATTAAACCACACTGGCAAGGAATCCTATAAATACCCCAGGAATTCATATCCGGAATGGGGTCCTTGAGTATAGAAGTTGGAATTTTATTGATGGGAGAATAAACAACCCGAAAGTTAAATTTCTGCAAAATATGTGCAACTTTATAGCTAATTGATGGAAAGAAGGGAATGACAACAGAATTTTTATAATCTCCTAAAATAAGAGTGTGGCTTTTAGTGTGTTGAGATGAGAATTTTTTAACTGCTTGATTAATAATGTTGGGTGAAAAGCCCCTGTCAATAGCTATTGCTTTTAAATAATTTAGTTCTTCATCAAGGGCTAGTTTGGAGGAGCAAACTTGAAGAGCACGGAAAACATAGGAATAAAATGAAGCTAACTTTTGTTTAGTCGGATGACATGATTTAAAGTGTGGTGGAAGGCAAACCGATGAAGGTTTACGGTAAACTGTAGTACTGAAGTTGGATGTGTTACGTGTGACCAGAATGTCGAGAAACGGAAGAGAATTGCAAGTCTCAAGTTCAAAAGTGAACTGAATAGCAGGATCAATAGAATTCATTGTTGAAAATCATCTTTATTACCTTCAAACATTTATTTAAATCATCTTTATTACCTTCAAACAGGGTAAAAGTATCGTCTACGTAGCGGAACCATGCCGGGAAGTTTAAAGTTTCAAACAATTTTGATTCATAATAATGCATGTAGATATCAGCCAGGATGGGACTGAGGGGGCTTCCCATGGCTAATCCCTCAGTTTGCTTGTAATATTTATTTTGGAAAACAAAATGTGTTTGTTTCAAACAGAGTTGAGTGAGAGAAATTAGCTCATCAATTTCGATGCAAGAGAAATGAAATTCGCGAAGTCTGGTTTCTAGACATCTTAATGCACCCTCCACTGGGACATTGGTGAATAATGATTTTACATCAAAAGAAACCAT